TTAATTAGGTGATTTGTATTATTCTTTCGGACCCTCCGAGCGAGGACGCAATTGTAATAAGTGTGCGTGTGTGCGATGCATGTCTTCCAACCCCCACTCCTTTCTCCCTTTCATTTACCAGCTTATGATGGTTAGATTAGGGCAAGTTTCAATTAGCATACTTATGCTTGCATGTTTGCATTCATTCATCTGTCTTGCATGCACCGGGCTTGGCGCATCATACTAACTGCATTGTATTTCAATTCCGAGTTGAATATTTGTTAGTTGTAGCATCATCATATGCCATGTTTAGAATAGCCGAGCCTATTGTAGTTGCATTTTTGCATGTGTTGCATTAGGCATTTCCGTATAGTTAGGATCATGCATGAATTTCTAACATAGCTTATGTTTTGGCTTGGAGTACTACGTAAGTATTTATGCTTTAGCATCCTTGCATGTGTGTGAGTGACTGCCATGATAGCATGCTTACCATGAGGCTACCTGCTTATGTGATATAACTGCCTGAATGCCTGTGGGTGAAGGTTGGATTATCTGAATTGGAATAATGCATTGACTGCGAGTTTTAAGCCCACTAGATAGTGGCAAAACCATGTTTTCTAAGCCCACCTGAGGGTGGAAAATCTACATTTTAGCCTACTTGCGAGTAGCAAACCGATTTTTCAAAACAAACATGAAATGTTTTGTTCCAATTCAGGCGATCCAATCTATACTTGTATGCTGTGCGCATCACATAGTAAATCTTGGCTAATAACTGGAATAAGGGCACATAATGTTTTCAAAACTTGATATCATGGTTAGTAGAGGCCGAACTTTGATCGGACGAGCGGGGGTGCTCACGAAGTGACCTTCCCCAATCGTACCCAAGTTCCCGAGCCGAGGCAACTTTGGTGATGACGGACACGTGGCCTTAGGCAACGAGTCAGGATTTCCTAAATTTCCCAAAATAAAATATTTAGGTGGCGACTCTGTATCTGGCAAAGCAGTCTATGTTTGGCACTTCTTTCAAAAAATCTATTTTCAAAAAAACGATTTGCCGGATTTGGACTCTTTGATGATTCATCGGTCTTGCATTACACTCTGCGAGATTAGATACAGGACTGTGACTTTGAGTCCTGAATTGTAGTGAGCCCCAAATGAACAAAACGGGGGGATATCCTCCCGGGACGTTCGGGGACATCTGCAGTACCTAAGTTCTCGAGCCGAGGCAACTTTGGTGATGACCGACACGTGGCCTTAGGCACAAGTCAGGGTTTCCTAAATCTTCCCAAAATAAAATATTTAGGTGGCGACTCTGTATCTGGCAAAGCAGTCCATGTTTGGCACTTCTTTATAAAAATCAGTTTTCCAAAACGATTTGTCGGATTTGGACTCTTTGGTGATTTATCAATCTCATATCGCACATTGTGAGATTAGATTCAGAACCGTGACATTTGAGTCCAAATTGTAGTAGCTCACAGAACAAAACGAGATTCGCACGCCGCTCGACCAGGCACGCGCGGATATTGGAGAGTTCCCAGGAGCGCGTCCACACAGGTATTGAAGGCTATTAGACCAGTCGAAGGCAAAGCTGAAGTATTTGAAGATGCAGAGCTATCCTATGAGAGTTAGGAACGTTTTGTGTTTGTAAGCGATTAATCCTTGTTGTAATTAGGACTTGTTTTGTAATTATTATATATATCATTTGTAACCTATCTGTATACTCCGTCAACTAATGTAAGCCTTGTGTTAATAATTTGTCAAGATTCGTCAAAAAGGTAGCTTTGCTATCTAAAGCGGTTAGACTTAAAAGGGAGGCTATATTGTCTCTTCTGACCTTCTTGGATCTTGCTTGGTTATTAACCAAAGGAAACATTAATGACATTTCCTACTCCTGTAACCTTACATAAACCATGTATTTATTTGTTAATATATTATCTGATGTTCTGGATTTTGGGGGCGCCACACCTCAAGCTCCTACTGATTAAGCTCAATCTTCTAATGATCAAGCTTAAGCTTGACAGATGAATGCTCAGTCCACAACAGTACAACTGCAGCCAAGGCCACAGTCAAAACCAAGAGTGCAGTGCATGGCTTCCCCTGATAAGACTTACAGTTATAACAGCCAAGTTAGTTAGACAGTTAGAATAACTATATCAATAGTAAAGTTGTTAGAACTCTAGTTAAGAATATAACCATAGTTAGTTGAAGTGTAATATCTCTATAAATGCTGTGTAAGTTCTATGAATGAATTGTTAAACAAATACCAAAAGATATTTCTTTATGGTATCAGAGCTCTCTAAGCTCTAACGAGCCCTCTAAATCAATTCTTCAAAATTTCTTCACAGATCTTTGACGATCATTCGAAGATCTTCGAAGCTCTTTCCATGGCAAATTCATCCTCTCCATTAATTCCTTTTAATCTTTCTTTACTCATCTCGAATCTCAGCTCATTTGTTAATGTGAAGTTAGATTCTACAAACTATATAGTTTGGAAAAATCAATTGCAAAATATATTGCGTGCGACAAATCTCATTGGTTTTGTGGATGGATCACAGATTTGTCCTTCGTCTGTGATCATTGATTCTGAGAACAGAGAAATCTCAAATCCTGAGTATGAAAATGGATGTGTATTGACGCACATCTCCTCAGTTGTGTTGCAACTACTCTATCTCCAACCATCTTCACTTCTATCTTTCATTGTAAAACAAGCTGTGAGGTATGGACTACTCTTCAATCTCGGTTTACTTCTATCTCTCGTTCTTATATCCATCAACTCAAGGATAAGCTGAGTCACCTCACTAAGAAAGGATTTACCATGGATGCCTATCTAACTGAGTTTAAACCATAGTTGATCAACTTGCTTTGGCTTGTGCACTTGTTGATGATGAGGATATCATTTTATACATCTTAAATGGCCTTTCAGATGAGTATAATGCTTTTAAAACCACTATTCGAGCTAGATTCAATTTCTCTTGAAACTGTGTTCTTTACTCTGTTATGAAGAAATTCATATTGAGCATGCTCATAAATAGTCTCATGCCTCTGATAATCCTTTTGCCTATGCTGTAACCACAAAATCCTATTCTCATCAAGGTGGATCTGCTAGAGGACAGTTTTCGAGGTCCTTCATCCTTCAAAGGTTGCAGATATTTCAGAGGTTCTCGCATAGGAGGAAGGCAAAATTTTCACAATTCTCATCAAACTTCTCAATCATCTGGTGTTCCTTCTCAAATTGGTATTGGTTCTGGAATTGTATGTCAGATCTGTGGCAAATACAATCATACAACCTTGGAATGTTGCTATTGAATGGATCAAAGTTTTCAAGCTTCTACCAAGCCACCCATACCTAAAGCTTATGTGGCCTCTGCTTCTACTTCTCAGAGTTCACCTATTCCTCCTACTTGGTATGTTGATTCAACATCTACTAGTCATATCACAAATGACTTAAATCATCTATCTGAATATCAACCTTATCAAGGTATTGATCAAGTCACAATTGGTGATGGTTCTACTCTTCCTATTTATCACATTGGTAATGAACTACTACCCACTCCTTCTCATCTTCTGTATCTTCATAACATTCTCCATGTTCTTCGCATCTCTTCTAACTTACTTTCTGTGCATAAGTTGGTTTCAGATAACAATTGCTCTATTGCATTTGATGTTGATGGTTTTCTTGTTCAGGACAAAGCTACCAAGAAAATCCTGTATATAGGTCTTCATTCTCAAGGTCTTTCCCATGCTTCATTCATTTCTCTAGCCTCCATATCAGCTGCTTGTCCTCAATCTTGCTTTACCAATACAGTTTCCACCTCTGCTGCACATGTACCTGTTGAGCAATCAAGTCCAAATTGCACTACAAGAAAAGTGGGCAAATAACACGGAACTTTTTGCGACGGTGTGTATGCTGTCGCAAAAAGTGGTCTTTTACGACGGCATATGAAGCCGTCTCAAATACTGTTTTTTGCGATGGCAGTTTCCCCGTCGCTAATAAACACAGAACAAAAAATCACTTAGATATGGAAGTATTAGCGACGGCACTGTGTACCGTCGCAAAAAATATTTTTTGAGACGGGTGAAATTTACCGTCGCAAATAGTAGACATTTGTGACGGGAATGCTCTATCGCAAAAAAAAATCCCTTAATAAAACGGCGTTGTTTTGTAAATGGATTTGATCATTTGCGACGGTTTGCCATGCCGTGGCAAATAGTCTGAAATTTCATCTCCCTCCTTCAGCCGAAATGGCGCTCGATCTAGAAGCCACTCCCGGATTGAAAAAAATGGGTTAGAGAGAGAGAGTCTGCCTTCTCTCTAGAAACATTCCTCGTTTGTAGGGTTTCAACTTCTCGTTGATAATGACTGCTTCACTGCATTCTGACCCATTTTCTGTAATTACTGCTACGCTTGTTACTGATCCTAGTAGGGCGATGAATATTAGTGATATTAGTGGTGAAAATCCTGAAGGGAAATCAGTGCGAAATGGTCTGTCTGAGAGTGATCTTCAACAACTGATAGATCTCGCGAATAATAGGGAAGGAACTACAGAGCAATCTCCAGTATCATTCTCGGCTCTGGCGAGTCGTCTTCAAGCCCTTAAGGATGCCATCAAGGTAGATTTACCACTGACTCCCAAATCAAGGGTTGTAGATCCACATGAGTGTCGTGATCTATCTTCACAGCCCGTGTTAGGGCTAGATCTGGGGGATACATCACAGATTGCAGCGGTATCATCCCTGAAATGGAGCGCCATGGTTGATTCAGAAAACCTCAGATTTGGAAATGTCCAAGATAGTTTGGTACGCACTAAGGCGAAGGGTCTGGCAACGGCATCAGCAGAGGAATATATACCTGTGGGAGATATCGTCGTAGACAACCTGCAAGGTATGAATCTGTCGTCTCTGGCTACGAAATCCGATAAGGAAAATGATATACAAGTCCGTAGAGTCGCTGAAATGGAGGGTTTTCCTCAACAGAACCTGCATCAAGGGGGTAGAGGGCAGAGTTCATATAGGGGAGGTCATGGGCGAGGGGGTCGGGGCAACCCTAACTCGTTGAGAGTAGACTCTTCTGCTGTAGCTTCAAACCAAACAACTAAATCCTGGGCTGAGGTTGCTACCATGCCTAGTAGATCTTCAATTAAACTAAGGTACATTCCTCCTCCAGCATCTGATGACCCAAATGTTGTGGATTTACCTTTTAGGGAGGTGGGGTTGGAAAAATGAGAGTCTTGTTTGGTGGGGTACTTCTTGGACAGAAAACTTCCATTCCATTATATTAGGAATAATGCTGTTAATATTTGGTTTTGTGGTTCAGATGGGGAAGCTGAAAAGACTCATTCAACCTAGGGACATTACCATAAACATTGGAAAGGATGCCCCAATTCCCGAATGCCCTATCCCTGGTGAAAGGTGGTTGTTTCTGCCATAATTTTATTGGAAAATAGGAACAAAGTTGTGTCTCTGTTTTAAGATTTTTAATAAATTAACTTTACAAATATTTGATCTCTGCAGATGGAAAGAAATAAGGCATGACAACACAGTTACATGGCTTGCTTTTTGGAATGATCCAATCAACCCAAAGGAATTCAAATACGTGTTCTTGGTAGCTAGCAGTTCTTTGAAAGGGCAAAGTGACAAGGAGAAATATGAGAAATTAAGGATGTTGAAGGTACTTTACATAAAATTTTACCTACACATCTGATGAATGCCATTTCTATTTGTGTTAGACAATGTAGTAGTAAATTCCCGTCCCTTAGCTATAACTATAATTCGTTGTTTGATTGTAGGACTACATACAAGGCATCAGAGCAGCATATACTAAGGATTTTGCTAGTAAGGATATCACAAGGCGGCAAATAGCAGTTGCCACCTATCGTATTGATAAACTAGCTCTCAGGGCAGGCAATGAATGCAAGGTTTATGTGGTTTACCCCAAACTAAAATTACGTCTATAACTGTTGCTATTTTTACTATGATCAGAAATATTACAAAAGATTACAAAGATAACACTACTTTCCCTCAACTATAAAAACACATAAATTTAGGGTAACAAGTCACAAGTGCGAAAGTATAACAAATATTGTTACTTTCAAAATTTGGGTCAAGGGGCAATGGTTACTGTATAGTATGTATCCTCTCGAATCCCCTCATTCTGTAGTCAAATGGTTACTAAAATCTACACTATTCCAACAGTCCAACGTCTAAAACTCAACAAGAACATCTCAAAAATTTCTTATCAGCAAAGGTCTCCAATTTTTAAAATTTAATAAAATAAAATATCATTTTTTTTTTAATTATTTAGACTGAGATTTCAAAAAAATTCAAGCCACTATTGAATGATAGATCTTTGGAGAAATTTTTATTTTCCGTCAAATGAAGGGAAGCAATCCCTTTCCATTAACATTGGGGCATCACAAATTTGTCCAATCATTATTTATATTGGCACATAATTATTTACCCAACCAAGTTGTTGAAAAACTTATTTCACAATTGTACGTTATTTTTGAATTGTTTCTTAAACCCAAGTTTGGAAAATACAATTTCATGGAACATGTTTGGTTGGCATGTTTGTTTCATGCCAACCTCATTTTGTTTTGTTTGGGTTAAAGATTTTGCTAATTTTTTTTTCATTAAATATTTTTTTGCTGGCGATTAGCTACAACTGTGTCCAATCTAATTGGGGCATGCCTTTTGCCATTGAAGCTATATCGTTGGTAATTATCTTACGATGTGTTTGGCCTGGAAATTTGGAAATAGATTTGGAAAGAGAAAGGAAAAAAAATGTGTGTCGAATTAATAAATTTGGTTATTGATGATGGAAAAAAACAACATTCATTCAAGAAATAAAGTTAAAAAAAAATTGGGATTGAGAAATAAAATACAAGAATTTGGTAACGCTGTGTTTGGTTGGAGGATTTGAGGAAAGATTTGGAAAGGAAAATGGAAAAGTTAAGCGAAATGTCCCTTTCCAAATCCCTCTCCAAATCCCCCAACCAAACACAACATAAAAATAACTTGAAGTGCCTCATCTAGCATGAATGCATGGCATTGTCACACATCTACAAAGACACAATTTGAGAGATAAGTTACCTTTGCATAGTGAGGGACCCATAAATTGTACACACAGGGGGTCAAGATAAAATTATTAGATTTTTAAAGGGCTAGAGTAAAATTTATATAGGTTTTAGGATGCCAAAACGTTAATTTCTTTAAAAATACTTTAAATTTTTCATAGTCTAATGAAATTTAAGAAGGCGAACGTAAAATTATATAAATTTTTAAGAAGTAAAAATAATATATATTTTTTCTTATAAATAATTAAAATCACACAAAGCAAATTTTTCCCTTTCTGTGTCAATTGTTGCCTTTGATGATTGATGAAGAAAGGCCAAAAATGCCGATCAAAAAAACAAAAAAAAAAAGAAAAGAAGGGAGGCCCAAAATAGTTATTTTTATTTTTTAAAAAAATTCTATTCATATATAAAATTCATAAAAAAAAATTATCTAAGAATAATGTGGCAATACCATTATTATAAATAAACAATCTTTATGAATCTTTTGTTTTAAAATGAAATAATTACATTGAGCAACATTAATTTTATATATCAATTTTTATATCATTATTGTTTTTTTTAAACATATGGTTGGTTTGACATGCATGTCATGGGCTGATCAATCATAAAACAAAGCTAATTAATAATAACTAACATGTGGGAGAACACAACTTGGAGAATATGGGATTGAGTTATGGCATGCTTTCTTATTCCCTGAATGCTTGAAAGATAATGACACTAACCTAATTATATTGTGGTGGAATTTATTGAGAAATTATTCACCACACCAAAGGAACCACATTAATTGTTATTAAGTTGAGATGTGGATTTTAATCCAAATTGTGTGTCTATTTTATAGCATATTTAAGTGCAGTCACACACTACAATAAATGACACTTTTAGCGACCAAATTTTTGGTCACTAAAAATTCATTTTTAGTCGCCGATTATTTTTGCCAACTAAAAGTTTTGGTCGCTAGAGTGGTCGTTGAAAGATTGTTGGGAAAGATAATTGATGACTAAAAAAAGTTTGGTCGCCGAAAGTTCCCAATTGACGACTAATTTTTTAGTTACCAAAAGCTTTTAAATAAAATTAATTAGCATATTTTTAGCGACCAAAGATTTTTGTCGCCAAAAACCTAAATTATATAGGACAACTAAATATTTAGTCATCAAATGTTTTTTTGTTTATCTTAATGTTTTTAGCTACCAAATATTTTCGTCACCTAAATTTTTTTTTTTTGGCTAATAAATATTTAGTCGCCAATTTTATTTTCATTTTATTTTATTTTTAATTAAGCTACTAAAGTTTCAATCACCTAAAGTCTGATTTTGTTTTGGCTACTGAATATGTAGTCGCCAAAAAGTTTTTTTCGTTGTATTTATTTTTTGGACCATGCTAGGGAGCTTGAAAACGAGCTGCCCCGAATCCCCCTAATTTCTATTTTTTTTTCAGAAGCAAAGAAGGAGAAGAGAAGGAAGGAGGAGGAGGAGAAGGAGGAATGGACTGGAGGGGGCCATAACAGTGGGAGGAGGCGGAGGCGGGCC